AACTATTCTACATTTATACAGATATCGAAAAACTGTCAAGATTCTGCTAATTAATTAATAACTAATTAATTGCTTCGTCAGAATCAGTTACAAATCTTGATCAAGATCTTGATCATGTTTTTTCAAGACAGATTCTGTAACAAAACTTGTCTACAATCTTGAACTGCAAGATGATCTCAGAATCTTGACAGATATCGAAAAAAATCTGCATAAGATCTTGAAAGAACTGAACAGAAACTTCCGAAATCTTTCATGTTTTTATCAAGATCTGCAGTCAAGATTTTTTACTTGGGCAATCAGGTAAGTGCTTGGTAGACATTTTGAAATCTATATTCTGAAGACATTTCCCATTTGCTTTTAGCTTGTAATATCACCACTCGATAGAGAAATGTTTTCTCTTTCAATCTACATTCGGAATTAGCATGGTCGATTACCTATAAACTACCGTATTTCGTTAGAAAAGCGGTCGGACACCTCGAAAGGTTCCCTCGTAAGTTATGAATTTCTCTAACAAAATGCTTCTGTTCTGAGAGTGGATGAGATGATAGTGTGAGAGTGGAATATCTAAAGTTTCAATTTAGGTTGACAGGGACATTAAAATACAGGACTTTTAAATTCGTGTTCCAAGTGTTAGACTACAATGATTATTTTCTGTCCAAAATTTTTTTGGTGAGTGACTGCTGTCTGTATTTGTTTTAACCATATTCTCTGTAACCTAGCTCGAGAGCATGAATGAATGATTTGCGATTAGTTTTAGATGCCATTCTAATATTACGGTTACACATTCCATCTCGATAAGCATAAATGTTTTGTATTAGAATAAGCTAACATTTTTCAGTCACTTTCTTATATATAGTGACATAGTGAAACGATGGTGATAATGATCAATGATAGATCAGAAATTCAATGATTTACAGAGAAAGAAAATATTCTTTCTTATTGAAATATGACAACTGAAAATGAAACACGGTAAAAGAACCTTTTTTTTAATGTATGAAAAATAAATTTAATCTTGGTAGAGTACACCATACAAAAGAATGTAAATTACTATTTAAAAAAAACACATTTTTTTTTCTATCGATTTAGATATACAATTATCGACAATCAGCTCGGTCTGCAAAGCTGAATCAGCTACGCAGTTTTATCAGCACTGAATCAGACTAATAAAATGCATCTTCTTACTCAGAAATTACAATTCTAAGCAGCTCATTCAACTCTCAACCATGTGACGGAATGAGAAGTGATTTGTTTGTACGAAACAATTTCTGAAATTTCAAAGCTGATTCTAGCCTGATTTTTCAGCTGTGAATTAGTTCAGAAGAAAAAGCTCCGTGCAGATAATAAAGATTTCTGAACTCTAACAAAAATTTAGAATAGTACAAAAATTAGATAAATCTGACTATCCAAGAGTTGTATTATCTTGAGTATAAGAATTTTACTGTTATTATCGAGTACCGTCCCGAAATCCTCAGCATCATGTAGTAACTTGAGTTAGTCCTGAAGGCACTGATAAGGATATTCAGTTCTAAGTCTGTAAGAATTAAACGAGAAGAAAATTTGTTGTAGAAAGCATATATCAGTGCTTTTCTTTTTTAAGCTGATTTCGACTCTGATTGAGCCTTGATAAAACTGCATAACTGATTCAGCTTTTCAGATCGAGCTGATCGTCGACTAGTGCAATGGCAAATAAATAAAGGCGATGTATGACGCATTTTCTTTCTTCTTGTTTTTCTTAATATTGCTGATTTATAAATGAAAGGAAATTTAACAAATTCATCCGAAATGTCATCCTCAACAACATTGAAGCCACCGCTACCGTCACCAACAGCATTAAATGATGATTTAGCATTTGTTTCTGGCAGTACAGTTGAACGACAAGCCTATGCTAGACATTATAAAAACCAGAATGTTCAAGATTATGATATTATGGTTGTTCATGGTTTTATTAGTTCTCCGACAGCTCTTATTCAAACAAGTATTCCTGGTTTTAAACAAATTTTGTTTGAGCCGATACAAAAACTAGGTAGTTTGTCGTGTTTAACAGGAACCTTGAATTCAACTGGACAATTATGTCTTAATGGTTTACAAATGAAAATGTATCATAAAGTAAAAAATGAAACGCCATTTGTTGTTGATTCAGCAGGGATCGTGACAACTACAGATAAAACCGATTTGACCGCGATCGTGACACATACAAGTACAACCGATTCCACAGCAGCTTCCGTTGCTGTAACTGTTACACGTGAGCCATTACCATTCGAAAATGATTTAACACAAATTTTGCCCAATTGGCTACACCATCAGCAGCCACTATCAGTGCCAACTCATGTATTAAAAGAACGTTTTTATAAATTTAGTAGAGGTTACATGGATGCTATAAGTCATTATACATTACCATTGCTAATAAATGAACATGTGCGAGAAATGGCAACGGAATGGAATACAAATGAACAGAGGTTCTATGATTTATTAAATATAATTGGGCCAGTATATGGTTATCGTTTACCTCAAAAAATAAAACAACAATTACAACTGATATTCGACTTTTACGACAAACATAAACATTTAGCACATTCATCAAAAATTAAAGAGACAATTGACTACGTGAATTATTGTTTACCCAAAGAAATAGATTTAGTTCCGGCGATACAAATTAAAGGTTTCTGGCCTGATGATGTTCAACCGTTTCTTGAACGTTTTAGAAAAAATTGTCCACATTTATATAATGAATTAATATCGAAGACATCGATGCATCTCATTGCTAAATGGTCAAAAAAAACTTCAGCCATCGATCAGGAACTAGAATTTCGCTATTCATTTTCAGCACTTGAACGTTTATTAGCGGACAAACGTACACAAAATGAACAAATCTTAAATGGTATTGCCCGATCAATCTATTATCGATATTTGACAAAAACTTCTGGTTCTAACCTCATACCATCGTATTTTGTTAAGACAACGGTACTGTGGATGTGTGAAACAATGTCTGATTTAATCAATAATATTGTTGGTGACAATGCTGAATCTATAGCACGACAGCTTGGTTTTGAATGGATAAAATTTGCTACGAAACAATTACGAGAAGGTATTTGTCTACATTATTTTATTGAAAATTTAAATATACTCAAATACTATAGGCCAGAATTATTAGTTGAAGCATGTGATATTCTTGAGTATAAAGTCAAATTAGACGAAATAGTGCGATTAGAATTTATGGAGATACATCAACAAATGGTAAAAGTGATAAGTAAAAATACTGAACAATTTGTACGACAAATGAAACTCACTGATTTAATTCAAGCAATAAATGATTACTATGAAATGTCACATGTGTGGTGGTCTTCGGCTAGTGATGATAACAACAACAGTAACAACGATATTCCTGTACAATCATGTTTAACAATATTAAATACTTTAGCTTGTGCTGATAGCAATCAATCAGATTGGAAAATATTTCGTCAATTGATATTTAGGAATGAACAGATGGAGGAGGAGAACGAACAAGACTTACCAGTATGGGGCGAAAATGTATCGATATGGGGCCCAAAAGATTTTGTCGAAAATTTAATTGCTGCTCCATTCTTACTTAAATCAACCCATGAAATTTTAAATAGTGATACGTTTACTGGTCGTTGTCCCGAATATAATCCATTTGATATCAAAAGTTTTCAAAATGTTGCACAAGATATTATGAATCCGGATCATCTAAAACATGTTATTATATCGACATTTGGTCCGTTATTCACCAATTCTCTTTTCGGTATTGATCAAAATCGAATGGAACAAGTTTTAAAATCATTTTTTCAACGAAGTTTAACGCAAGATCAAGGAATTGGACCTCAATTAAACTTACAAGTGGAAAATGGTAAGCATGGTTTTAATATCGGATGTGCCAAAATGATTGCGACGCTTTTTATTTGCCTATATCTCAATACAGAAAATCTATATAATCTTCAACTTCTTTTAAAAGATGCGCAGTTTAATTATCTTCCAGGGACTGTTACACAGTGGGCATCCAGACGGAAATTAGGCAAAAAATTAAAGTTGCTCGTTTCTCAAAGATAAATAGTGCAAAATGTAGCCCTTTCAATTCTCTATCGAATGGTGTGTGAATGTCTATTGTGATTTTCACTTCTTCATGGAGAAATCAGGCCACAAAGGAAGCTCCCAAAACATCATACGTATGCGCAAAATGCCGTTTTCTTCTTTATACAGCTACGTTTAATGATTTCAAAGCACATATTCGGAATCAGTATGTTTTCAGCTATCTATTGATATCAAAATATATATACTTTACTTTCAAATTCAATATGTAACAGCTCTTCAATACTTCATCGTTCACTCGTACATGAGACCACCTCAGTATAGTCGCATCGCCCGAGAACGCCGGGCTCCAAAAGCACATCTAATTACATCAAAACATTCTTCAGTCAATACTCTATCTGTGGCAGACTCACCTAATCTCACCTATTGTTCTAAGTGCAGATATAGAATTTCGAAAAACCCATAGGATTTTCAAAGTATTTCGATGTTTTCTCGTACAAGAAAGCATTTTTATTCAAATATAATACCATATTCGGGATCAGCGTGAAAAACTGCATCGAATGGTGTATAACTCATCTAGTTTCCGTCGTTTGATTTTGAATTCTAGAAATTTCTTAGTTTTTGAGATTCACACAAACAATTTCGTGCAGAAAATTTGAATTTCAAGATAAAGTAACTTGAACGACTCGAAACATGTTTCTTATAGATTTCCGACAATGCTCTTTCCAATGACATCATTTTTAAATATCTCCATAGCATCCATAGCAGTCTCCCATAACAGTTATAGACAGTCCATTTTTAAAGGATCATGATGAATCAACAGTGGAGAAGTGGAGAAGTGTCTGCCAGGTGGTGGATTGTGAATGCAAATGCACCTTTTTTTAGTAAAGGAAGAAGAAGAAATTTTATGATATCAGATCTTTTAGTTCAACATCCATCTTCACCTCTCTTTCTTTCGAGTGAACAAGAGTGGACTAGAAAATAAAAGGACTAATACTCACGAAATTAAGCTTGACAACTGTTATGGACTTGGACGTCCATGGTCTTTAGTCCATGGGCCGAAAAGTTTTTGAGAGGATCGTCCACGAGCGCCCATGGACGAAAAATTTGCGTCCATAACAGTTCCTGTTATCTACAAACTTCTATTTAGCTCAATTTAGAATTATAGAATTGAACGTTTTTATCGGTCACATAGTGTGATGATATGAATTACATCTACTGTCCACATATTTTTACTAATTAATTTTTTCTATACAATCAAATATTTAGTTTTTAAAAGTTGGAGTAAATTTGTAATGCATTAAAAAAGAAATTTTTGAACGTTTTTTGGTTACCTTGTCTTCTTGTTCTTCGATGCACGTACAGATATCCCGCGATGTACGCTGATATCAGAGAAAAATACTCACATATAAAGTTATTCTTTATTGATGAATTTTTGAAACATATTTTTTTGCAGAATTTAAGCAAGACTAAAGATTGGATTAGATAGTCAGGATTCTTTTTCAGATAGCTAGCGTATTCTCTTTGTTATGTATAACTCGTCGATGTTTTACCTTTCACTTTTTTTGCAATATATGCGAAACATGACAAACAAGTTTCTTCAGAGAAAAACGAGAAAAGAAAAATAAAGGACTTTTCTTAAGGAATATCCAATGGAGCAAGTTTATATAAAACCTCTAGCTCAATTCAGAAATAATGACGTCCAATTAAATGGATAATATATTAAACGCTAATTCTAAGGGACTTTATGTTTAAATAATGGAGTATTTTCTCTAAAGTATAGTTCTAATTACAACGTTGACATCGTAAATAGGTTTGAACATAAACTTTTTTCTACTTAGATTATTACTTGGAGAAGTAGAACGCATTCGACTATCGAACGTCATCGTGATCGTTTTCTGGCGAGTATACAAAATTCGTTTATTGACGAGGGTTGGTGTCTCCAATTTCTTTTTAACATAAAAAATTAGGAGAAGTATAGCAACCGAACAGAGCTAAAAGAAAATGGGAGGAAAAGGATGACGTTATAAATGAATTTGTGATTCTGAGCATTTAAATGAGGTTACAAATCCTAGTATATCAAAAAAATTCGAGCGTCCTCTTATTTTACAAAAATACGCGAATGAATGTAGAATGTTCAATTTTCCACGAAATTCGAAGTTTTCTCCGAGTAAATATATTGTACTTCGAAGGATAGACATACATTTCAGACTACTTTTGAAAGTTATAAAAACATTTATTTTTAGTGCACTCCCGTTCAAATCAGAGTCTGCTTAGTGGGGATACTACTAACAACGACAGTAACCGTTTAAATTTTGAACATGATTCGTACGAACCTCAACAATTACAAAGGAGAACACAACAATGTTGTTCCCGTTGTTTTACTGCTCATTTTATGAATTTATTGCAACAAGCACCATCAAAAGATATGACTATAGGGGATTACATTGATCACGAACAAAAACTAATTGAAGAACAACATAAGCAAGCTGAATTAGACGATGATTTAATGGCACATGTCTTACAAGAATCTCTTAATGATCAGCAAGATGCTGAACAACTTTTATTGTTAAATTTCGAAGAACACAATAATCAGCAACTACCATCAAATGATGTAACTGTTGAAGAACCTAGAGTATATAACGGTCTATTGATCAGTGATTCGGAGCCATTTCTCAATGATACTGAACAGACATCAAATGATGACAATCAAAAACAAAAAGTTACGTCAAATGAGATTTATGTTGACGAAGAGCAAAACAAAGAAGTAGAATTAGACAACAACGATTTATCCACAACAATGAGTTCATTGAAATTATCTCTCGTTGATCAACAAGTAGAATCATGGGATACCCAAACACAAGAATCAACAAACAGTCAACAACAAGTCTTCTTAAATAACCTAACTGTTACAGAACAATGTTTAATCGACGAGCAAAATATACAAGCTGAATTAGATAACGATGAACGGTTGGCACGAGCATTACAATTATCCTTTGACGATGAACACAATAACAATGAAGCTCAACAAACTGCTCAATATGATGAAGATCATTTACTAGCTCTTGTCTTGCAGTCTATGGATGATTAACAGAACAAATAGTAAAAATTAATCATGCGCTACATATGCTGATTTTATCATGTTTTATTCGGGAATTTCTGAAAAAAGCATTTAAACCCTGATTGCAACCTTATTACTATCCATTTCAAAAAAGAAGAAGCACGGCCATTTCTTTGATAACTTTTTCTAAGAAGCAGCTAAAAAGGCGCGGTTTTCAGTATCGGAAAGCGAAATGTTGGGGTAATATGAAAAACTAAA